CTGTTGGGGCCATAATTCAGAAGTGGAAAGAACATTATTTCACCATAAACCTCGTAAAATATACGACAGGTCTGGACCACTCGTGAATTTTGTTCGTATCTGAAAAAAATCGTAGAATACGAAAACATTGGTGAATGCCACAAATTCTCCTAAATCACTCGTACACACAACTTAAGAACAAATCTGTGCGTACGAACGGTTCTTGCATGAGGCCCATTATGTGTGTTAGCACAAAGTATCAGTATCGGATCAGTATCACTGATACCAGCCAAATTTTACTCGGTATCAGTATCGAAAAGAAAATTGGCAGTATCGAACATCACTATTGACTGGTCCTGACATAAAATCCTGAGTCAATCATAATATGTGAGTCCGAGACAGAACCAAATCCGGTCTGGAGTCCTAACACAGGTCAGGTTCCTGCACAGCTGAGCTCAGACCAACGAAGCCAGCAGCTCGTGGAGCTGTCCTACCTTCTTCACGTAGCCCTGGATGAGCTCGGGGGTGGGCACCTGCTCGGAGGACAGGCACTCCTCCAGCTGCAGCTTGTTGGGCGGGCAGACCGGCTGGCTTCTTTCCACCCTGAAAACCCACGGCACAGAGGGAAAGAGAGGACAATGAGTTCCAGCCTCTCAGTTCAATCAGGCAGCTGGAGGGGAAAAAAGGCTCATTTACACACATCCAAACGCACATTCACAACCTAGAATTACTGAATTGTAGTCACAATAGTTCCACAAACAGGGTGCTGTTGACGGAGGGAGGCATTAAACACACAAAGCAGCCCCCCTGTATCAACAAATTACATGGCATCAAGACGCTTTGTTAATGTTATTCCTGCCCTGTGGGAGGTGAGCGAGGAAATACACCAACACTTAAGTGAAACAAAGATCTACATGGATGAAAGAAAGAAAATAAGTCTGTGCTCCCAGCCTTCCCCGTCGAGGCCTTAACAATTTTTTATTTTTTTGTGGGAGGTGGGGGGATCTATTTATATACTTCTGTTTTTTCCTTCTCTGTTCTGTGGAGGAAATCCCAGAGCCAGCCCAGAGGAGGCTAACGCTGCAGCTCCTCATCTTTCTGCTCCTCATCCTGTTGACAAGTCGAAGCCCCGCCCCCTCCCCTCTTTCAACACACACACCCTTTTCCTCAGCGTGCAGCAGAGCATGCGTGTGCATGATCTTTGACTCTGCACGGACACCTGATGTGAGGGGGGGTCGATGCATGCAGACCCTTAACAGGATGCAGCTTTCACATAACACCTGATAAAAAGGAGGATATGTGTGATATAACCACTTCAATCATACGTCCTGCACACAACAAATGTCTGAAAGCTCAAATTAAACATTCAGCAGGTTGTTGGTGCTTCAAAGATCCAGACTCTGGTTCTAAAAAAGATATTTTCAGGTGGATTATCATAACACAAGTCAAACTGTCTTTATGTGTGCGTTTGTTACAAATATAGTTGCTCTAAATATCAATTAAACTAAACAAATCAATAAAGAGAATAACGTTCTCATGTAAATTAAAAAAAATTCAAAGTAAATATAAAAGTTGGGGAAATGTTTGGTTTACAGTTATATATTTGAAAAGATATTTAAAAAATCTTTAAAAAAAATCCCAGTAATTAAGCACCAAATGATTTTTTTGGATTGAAATCTCACACAAACCTGAAGGATAATAAACAGACACGGTGGCCGTTTTAAATCAGTTTAATTATAAACTTTTATCAGTTGTAGATGTGCATCCAGTGATTCATTTCTGTGAGTTTCATTCAAATCCATCCAGTGGTTCATTAGATATTTTACTGACAAACAAGCCGGTGAATCAACATGAAGTCAAATTTATTTCAAAATTTAATCAATGAGTTCATTTAGAGCATTTGTAATTACATTTTTCAAATATTCCTTGAAGGTTATTTTTCATTCTGAACCAAACAAAAGAAAAAATAATCAGGTTTCTTTGATTTCACATGAAAAATAAAAATACTCTTTAAGAAAACGTTGATTATAATCAGAAATCGACGCAGCAGAGACTGAAATATTGGAACTTTTAGCCACAAGTCCCTCTTTTCCTGCAGAGCTGGTTCAACCTTTTACAGAAAATTGCCCTTTCAAGTGCCTCTTTAAAGTCCAAACGGAGAGACTCTGAGGGCAAAAAGGCCTTTTTTATATTCAAAGAAAGCTGCAGAGCACAATACGCTGGTTTCTTTCACTCACGTTTCAAAGTATTTGCTTGATGAGCTCCTGCTTTCTTCTTTGTCAAAAAGCCTAAATGTAATTTTACGTGTAATTTTAGCTCTATTCAACTGGATCTGGATCCATTTTTCGCCTCTAACAGAAAAAAATATCAAGATAATATTTAGCTCCAGCCCAGGTTTAAAGCTTTAAATGTGCAGCTGATGGAGCAGAAACTGGACCGTCCCGGGTTTTAGGTCCTGCAGACTTCATGAAACATTTCTCCTGATGGCCTGAACGCTGTCTGGCTCTGGTTTTCACAGAGTTGCAACATTAAAATGTTTGACAGGAAACTGACGGTTCTGCCAGAGGAAGGTTTGTGTATCAGAAGATAAATCAGAACCAGCTGGTTCTGCTTCAGGCTCCTTTTCAGAACCATCAGTTCAGAACAGATTTAGTAATAAAATTTAAACTTATTTATGTTTTAAATGTGAGTGCAGACTCAGCTTTTTTAAGTCTTTCTTTTACTGCATTGAAAAATGTTCGGCTCATTCAGGAGGGGGCCGCTCGACTTTTAGCTTTTGCAGTTTTTATACTCTCTGAATTTTTTTACTTTAAAAAAAGTATTTTCCTCATAAAAATATTCAGATCAAATCATTTCCCTCATAAACATTATTCTGTTTGAAATCAGCTTCAAATTGTCTCTAACCTGCTTTTTCTATGACTTTTAGATCTTAGCTAACATTCAGTTATTTTTAGCTAACCTAGTCTTTTAGCTTTTAGCCAGCCAGACTAGTTTTAGCATTTATCTAGCATTTTGATACATTTGGTGACCTTTTGCTAAATGTAACTTTTACTTATAGCATTCTGCTACTTTTAACTAGCATTTTGCTACTTTCAGGTTTTAGCTAGCCTTTAGCTAGTTTTAAATGAAAAGCTAATATTTGATATGCGAAGCCAACATTGTCATTTGTTGAATTTAAATTTATTTAGCCTTTTGGCATACTTTTAGCCAGCCAGGTTAGTTTTAAGATTCATCTAGCATTTTGATAAGTTTATCTAATCTTTTGCTAAATTTGAATCGTAGGCATTTCATTCTGCTACTTTCACTTAGCAATTTGCAACTTTTAGCTTTTAGTTAGCCTTCAGCTATTTTTAACTTGCAGACATTGTCTGTTGTTGAATTTAAGTTTTGCTAGCCATTTGCTACTTTTAGCAAACGTTTGTATACATTGATTTAGCTTTTGCTATATTTAGGTAGCAACTAGCTTTTATTTTGTGCTTTGCTTGTATTAGTTTTCAGCAGTCCATCAGGTCTCTGCAGTAATTTAGTTTGATCTAAATTTCAAAACAACATTTTATTCTGCATTTTTCTTTCTGTTCAAACTGAATTAAAAATGTCCCCTTTTGTTTAAAAAAATACTACGATTCTGCTAAAGAAGTGACGCTTTGGTTAACCACCTAAAATATAAGAGAAATTATTATTATGTAGAGAATGTTTTAATAGGATTTCTATGAATACAGTCAAATATTTTAATAACAAAAAGAAGCCGATCTGTGCTAAACAGAAGTAAAAAAAGGTGAAAAGCTGATAGAGGAGCGACTCTGAAAGGAAGGAAATCTCTGCTGGTCGAACATCAGAGACTAAAAGACAAAAGAAAAGAGCAGCGATTCAAACGGAGCGTTTGTTCCTGCAGGGAGCCTCCGGGTTAAAAATAGCAGCTGCATCACCTGCAGTCCATCTTCTCCATGTGAAACATGGACTTTTCATGCAGCATGCAGCACCAGCTGTCACCATCCCAGGCCTCATGTGGTTAGAAGGGTGTCAGATGCCTGTTTGCCTGCCCACCTACCTGCAGCTCCCTCCTGGGTGAGGACACCTGCTCTTATCACCCCCCTTTTCTCACCACAAATGGGTTGCCTGCTTTGTTTCAGCGTAAAACACCTTGTGTCAGACTAATCGCTCCCTCTGGAGCCGGACCTTCACGTGGAAACTAATTATCTGTTACCTGTTAATGGTTCGGTTTGGCGCTGTGGCAACATCATCTGTAAAACAGGGTTTAGTAAACAGCATGTTCACTGAGGTATGAAAAGTCATTCTGTTGATGGATTTGTGTTTTGGAGGTGGACTTCAGTCAAAAAGCATTTAATCAGTGAACAACAAGAGTTTTTTTTTCTTTTGGTTTTAAATTCACAAATTACAAACCAGTTTGTTGCAGGTTGATTTGAAGTATTTGAAAAAACCTTAAAGTCCCTTTAACCCGTTAAAGTACATGCTGTTTCACATTTAAATGGTAAATGGTCTGAACTTATAAATTGCTTCATCAAGCCCATTTGGACCTCAAAGCGCAGTCATTCACCCATTCACTCACTGATGGTGGTAAGCTACATTGTAGCCACAGCTGCCCTGGGCTTCACGGACAGGGACTGCCATGTACCGACACCAATGAACCCTTTGACCACCATCAGTAGGCAAAACGGGGGAAGTGCCTTGCCCAAGCACACAACAACTGAGACAGCTTGAATGGGGATCGAACCGGCAACCCTCCATTTACAGGACAACTCCTCTAACCACTCAGATTTTTCAACCTGTTCGGTTTTCTATTTTTTTCTATGACGTTTTCTGAACTATTATGTCAAATTATCTGTGACGGGATTGAAAAATTAGGTCTGGAATTACCAACTGCAATTTCCTCATCTTAATTCTCCTCTGGTTCTGGGTCAGGGTCTGATTCTGGGCCAGACTCTGTCTCCAACATGTAAGGTTGGATGAACAAGTCTTCTGTTGTTGACATCTTTGAATTAAATTAAAAATAAAACATCTCTGCACTGCTAGAAAACGTAACCTCCTCTCTCAAACTGGAGTGGACCGGTCTGGAAGCTGGAGGGGGGCGGAGCTTGAAGCGCCTTAAAAGAACAGTAACAAAACGAGACACAGCAGCAGAAAAGTGGTGAAAAAGGAGCTGGTAAAGTTAGAATAAAAATGAATTCAGACCAAAACACTGAAGAAACACTTTATAAAAACTCAACTGAATGATTAAAATGTGAAAAGGAAACATTTAAAAGCAGATATGCCTACTTTAAACCCTACAGTTGGGGTTCACATAAAGTGGAACTGCAGTTGTTGTAGTTGTTTTGGGTAAAACCACAATTTTCCACGCAGATTAAGGACTGGAAAATGTTTTGCTCTTACTTTTTGTTTTGTTACAGCTGGATTATTCTTGATAAACTCAAAGGAATATATGCACAAACTAAAATAGGGAATTTGAAATAATGAAAAATGATAAAACAGCCATAATTTTACACAACGAAGCTATAAACTTTAGCAATTGTTGTTAATACAGTAAGTCAGGAACGTCAGCGGGTTGGGGTCAGTCAGTGGTTTTTGTACCGTGAGGTTGGAAATAA